CTCCGCCCACTACCCTGACTCTCTGCCCACTACCCGGACTCTCTGCCCACTAGCCTGACTCTCCGCCCACTAGCCTGACTCTCCGCCCACTAGCCTGACTCTCCGCCCACTACCCTGACTCTCCGCCCACTACCCTGACTCTCCGCCCACTACCCTGACTCTCCGCCCACTACCCTGACTCTCCGCCCACTACCCTGACTCTCCGCCCACTACCCTGACTCTCCGCCCACTACCCTGACTCTCTGCCCACTACCCTGACTCTCTGCCCACTACCCTGACTCTCTGCCCACTACCCTGACTCTCCGCCCACTACCCTGACTCTCCGCCCACTACCCTGACTCTCCGCCCACTACCCTGACTCTCCGCCCACTACCCTGACTCTCCGCCCACTACCCTGACTCTCTGCCCACTACCCTGACTCTCCGCCCACTACCCTGACTCTCCGCCCACTACCCTGACTCTCTGCCCACTACCCTGACTCTCTGCCCACTACCCTGACTCTCTGCCCACTACTCTGACTCTCTGCCCACTACTCTGACTCTCTGCCCACTAGCCTGACTCTCTGCCCACTACCCTGACTATCTGCCCACTAGCATGGTTGCCAGCCCACTACCCTGGCTCTTAGCCCACTACCCTGGCTCTTAGCCCACTACCCTGGCTCTTAGCCCACTACCCTGGCTCTTAGCCCACTACCCTGGCTCTTAGCCCACTACCCTGGCTCTTAGCCCACTACCCTGGCTCTTAGCCCACTACCCTGGCTCTTAGCCCACTACCCTGGCTCTAAGCTCACTACTATGCCCCCTGCCCACTACCATGGCTCCCTGCCCATTATTATGGCTTCTAGTCAGCTACCATGGCTGCCAGCACACTAGCCTGGCTTCCAGCCAGCTACCAAGGCCCCCCCCCCCCCACTACCCTTTCTCTTAGTCCACTACCCTAGCCCCCAGGCCACTACCATGGCTCCCAGGCCACCACCATGGCTCCCAGGCCACTACCATGGCTCCCAGACCACTACCATGGCTCCCAGGCCACTACCCTAGCCCCCAGGCCACTACCATGGCTCCCAGGCAACTACCATGGCCCCCAGGCCACTACCCTGGCCCACAGGCCACTACCCTGGCCCCCAGGCCACTACCATGGCTCCCAGGCCACTACCATGGCTCCCAGGCCACTACTATGGCTCCCAGGCCACTACCATGGCTCCCAGGCCACTTCCATGGCTCCCAGGCCACTTCCATGGCTCCCAGGCCACTACCATGGCTCCCAGGCTACTACCATGGCTCCCAGGCATATATCCTGGTGGCCCACCCTGCTATCTTGGCTTTCAGCCCACTCCATGCCCGTCCTATGCGATCTATCTCAGACCCTAACTCCCTTCTCTAAGTGCCTCCCCCCTCCCCCCTGCTTTTCTCTGTTCTGGTCCTGTGAATTTCATCAGCTATATTTTATCAGGGGCTGCGTTAGCACAGTCGATAGGAGACCCGCTTTCAAATCTGCAGCCCACGGTAGATTTTCGAAACCGAGGTTCACCCAACCTCTAGGAAATGGGTACCAGAGTTAACATTCTGGGGTGAATGGAGGAACATCACTGTAGCTACGAAGTTGCGTGCGGACGGCGACACAGGCGGACAGTTTCCTACCAGCAGCCCGTACTGGTGGCAGAGCACTTATGGTTTATAACCGTGTGCAATGATGCTGGTTCACATCTCCCAGCTGTCCGTACTGGTGGCAGAGCACTTATGGTTTATAACCGTGTGCAATGATGCTGGTTCACATCTCCCAGCTGTCCGTACTGGTGGCAGAGCACTTATGGTTTATAACCGTGTGCAATGATACTGGTTCACATCTCCCAGCTGTCCGTACTGGTGGCAGAGCACTTATGGTTTATAACCGTGTGCAATGATGCTGGTTCACATCTCCCAGCTGTCCGTACTGGTGGCAGAGCACTTATGGTTTATAACCGTGTGCAATGATGCTGGTTCACATCTCCCAGCTGTCCGTACTGGTGGCAGAGCACTTATGGTTTATAACCGTGTGCAATGATGCTGGTTCACATCTCCCAACTTTACCTTTTTTCTTTATTTTATCAGGTGTTCTCAGTGTGCTTCATATCCAGGACCTCCCTGTGTGAGTTCTGGGACCCTGAAGTTAACCCAGGACCTCCCTGTGTGGGTTCTGGGACCCTGAAGTTAACCCAGGACCTCCCTGTGTGGGTTCTGGGACCCTGAAGTTAACCCAGGACCTCCCTGTGTGGGTTCTGGGACCCTGAAGTTAACCCAGGACCTCCCTGTGTGGGTTCTGGGACCCTGAAGTTAACCCAGGACCTCCCTGTGTGAGTTCTGGGACCCTGAAGTTAACCCAGGACCTCCCTGTGTGGGTTCTGGGACCCTGAAGTTAACCCAGGACCTCCCTGTGTGGGTTCTGGGACCCTGAAGTTAACCAAGGACCTCCCTGTGTGGGTTCTGGGACCCTGAAGTTAACCCAGGACCTCCCTGTGTGAGTTCTGGGACCCTGAAGTTAACCCAGGACCTCCCTGTGTGGGTTCTGGGACCCTGAAGTTAACCCAGGACCTCCCTGTGTGGGTTCTGGGACCCTGAAGTTAACAAGACTGAAGTCCAGAAGTGGATGAACAACCTTAACTTTCCGCCAGATTACAGCTGGTGAACACAAAACAGAAGAAGATATCCAGGACCTGGGTATTTTCTTCATCTGTATATTCACTTGAATTTGTGAATCATTCACACTCCTTCATCATTACCAGTAATATTCAATTATAGGTCTTGGTCCATCTGACATTTGTGAATCACTCACACAAAACGTCACGACCAGTAAAATACATGTATCCGCGACAACGCTCACCATGACCCATCTGATGTCCACATATCTGGCCAGGACTTGACTGTAGGGGTCAGGCTCCAGCTTGGTCCGGTAGTGGTTGGGAACCCGGTCCTCCTGCACCTGTGGGAAGTCAATCTGGTCGGGGTCCAGGCGCGGCACATCAAAACAGATTCTGAAAAATGCAACCAGGTACTTCCTCACTTGCCTGTTTATCACCAAAACCCATAAAAGAAGCAGACAGTAGTGAGAACATACAGCATAACTTTAGTGCAATTATTTATTTCATAATTTCCTTCCCAGCACGTCGGGAATACCCGTAAGTGCTATGTTCTTTTCCTAAGTATATTTCTAATGACACTCTTTTTTTTGGTTGTTCTGGCTGATGTGGCAACTACTAGCTCTTGTACGGTTGTCATGTCGTGCTGCTGTAGTCTGTAAATCTAGACCAGCGGTTCTCAAACTGGGTGCTGCGAGCATATGACAGGGGTGCCGCTGCAATATTCAACAATTTTTCAAAAGCCAAGAAGAGTTCTGGATACAGGTGTATTGTGTAACAATGCTACTGGCAAAACTGCAATGCATTCTCAACGTAGGCTCACATAAAAAACCCAGATACAGAAGAACCCTTTAAGTGATCTGAGGGTACAATGAACTAAACCATAAACATAAAGGAAATAATGCAAAATTCATCCAAACAGTTTCATTCATTGCACTAAAGACAACTGAACATTTATAAATGTGCACTGTTTTTTTTTCTTTTCCGAAGTATTTAAACCACTTTAAGTGTAGGTGTGCTGTGAATTTTTTTCTTTTCCGAAGTATTTAAAACACTTTAGGTGTAGGTGTGCTGTGAAATTGTTTCGCCTGACAACGGTGCCCCGGCGAGAAAGGTTTGAGAAATGCTGATCTAGACTATGCATTCAAGCCAGAGAGAAAACATTATCATCACGTCTAAGGTCTTCAGCACGTGTGGTCTCTCGTATAACACTGATTGTGTCCATTCTGTCCAATGAAGGTCCATTTTCTTCTCCTAAGCAAATTTCTAACGATAACTCCTGTTTTGTACTGGCTAATGTAGCAACTGTCAGCTCTTGCCTGGTTGTCATGTCACGCTGCTCCAGTCTGTACATCTAGACCATGCATTCAAGGCAGAGATCAATCATTATCATCATGTCGGAGGGCCTTCACTGCGTGTGGTCTCTCGTACAGCATTGACTATGTCCATTCTGTCCATCAAAGGTCCATCTCCTGGACTGGTGCTGCCTGCATGGACCGCCACCCTCTGGCTACTATCTCAGTGACCACATGTCCTTGGGCAAAAACATTCAGGCTATGATATGCAGCTGCTTTTTGTGGTGATTGGTACCATTCACTTCACATATACAACACTGGCAAACCACAAGCAGCCATGCTGAAAACATGCATCTTTTCTAAAGCATCATAAAGAAGGAAGGATGGTCCATTTCTTATAAAAGACTTTATACACATAAACTAGAGGCAGTCAGCATTACAAGTAGGAAGAGATGGGACAAATAGCAGTCTATCAGGATGCACAATGAGGACAAGGGACAGAGAATTTAGACATTCATTGCAGCTCCCTAAAAAATATTTATTCAATTTTGCTAATGGATATTGGGGTGAAACACATTTAAGAAATGTTTATTTGACTTAACTGATGGTCTGCTGGAGTCCTAGGCTGAAATCAAGTTTTTATAAAATGTTTATTTAACTGACCTATGGTGGTCCTAGAGTGAAACAAAATGTTTATAAAATGTTGATCTGACTGACCAATGGTGGTCCTGGGGTGAAACAAAATGTTTATAAAATGTTTATCTGGTCCTAGGATGAAAATTTTTTTTTTTATCTGACTGACCTATGGTGGTCCTGGGATAAAACAAAATGTTTATAAAATGTTGATCTGTTTGACAAATGTTTATAAAATGTTTATCTGACTGACTGACCTATAGTGGTCCTGGGATGAAACAAAACGTTTACAAAATGAAAAATGTTTATCTGACTCTCCTGTATTTGTTTATCTGACTTTATTTGGGTGGGGAGGGGGGGGGGGAAGGGGGGGGGGGAGTGGTTCTAGGATGAAACAAAATGTTTACTTGACTTAAAATGGGGGGTCACAATGTTTACAGAATGTTTATCCTACTGACCTGCGGGTCTGCTGGGGTTCCAGGATGATATTTGAATCATGTCCATACTGTACATCAACCTGATGACAGGAGACATTGATCAGGTCAAGGCACAAACAGCATTCGTTGTCACTGCAGAGGAAAACAGTAATCATGTAGCAATAAGTCAAGGTACAAAACAGTAATCATGTAGCAATAGGTCAAGGTACAAAACAGTAATCATGTAGCAATAAGTCAAGGTACATAAACAGTAATCATGAGACAATAAGTCAAGGTACGAAACAGTAATCATGTGACAATAAGTCAAGATACAAAACAGCAATCGTCGTCACCAACAACAAAAACAGCAATCGTAAATCATTCACACACACATTAAAAAAAAAGGGTGGGTGAATTCAAAATCTTGGAAGCATTTTCACATCAGACGGCAAACTGGATAGAGAGACAAAGTCCAGACAGAATCCAACCATATTATCTATAAACTTTTCCTAGTACTGAAACACCCAGCAATACCAATGGAAACTAAAAGACAAATCATAAACGCAATTGTTTTACCAACATTATGTTACCAACACAACACTCAGGTTCTGGAACAAGATTGCAGTCCACAAGTGGAGGAACAACCAGAACTTTCCGTCAGAGTTTACAGCTGGTGAACGTGAAGAAGAAGTCACCAATACCAAACCTGGGCATTAACAAAATAACCAGAGAGGAAGCTCACAACAAACTGAATCAGATGTTTGAGAAGAGCAGTCAACATAGTAAGAAAAGACCAGAGTTGAGTTGACATCACAGCACTTAGGGCATTCCCAAGTGTGCTCCGTCCTCATCTTCAGCAGCCAGTGCAGAGTTTCAATACTGATCGTACTGGTCACAATCCGGTTATTTGTCCCTCTTGCCTTTCCAGTTGTTCATCTGTATCCACAATTTACCAGTCAGTATCCACAATCTACAAGGTGGGAAATGGAGTCCTTAACCAAACCTACTTATCCATAAGCTACCCAAATCCACATATGACTCAGGATTATCCATAAGCTACCCAAATCCACATATGACTCAGGATTATCCATAAGCTACCCAAATCCACATTTGACTCAGGAATATCCATAAGCTGTATGTATCCACAAATTACCTGTTGATATCCTGAACATCCCAGTTAGTGATATACACACTGGGCACGATATCCAGGTTCAGAGCCAGGGAACACTGGCGACAGTAGCCGGCCTTGAACCCTTCCCCTCCGCTGTACCGAAGTGACAGCACCATGTCTGTAGTCTGTAAAAGAACAGCTACAATAAATAATGGAAGCATTACAACTGCTCTATTTATATAGTCTTAAAAGAACAACTACAATAGAACATCCAAAAGAGACAGTATGATGCTGTGGTCGTGTTATCAGAAGAGGGAAACTGGAACATGTTGTGACAACTGGTAAGATCTGTGGAAAGAAAGACAGAGGATGACAACTTGAGAAGATTCTTGACCGACTTTTGGTGTGGCATGGAGAAGTGTCAGCACACAAACATGCTGTTGAAGACTGCAGATTGTGGAGAGGCACAACTGCCCACATTACCTGGCTAGGCACTTGATGATGATGATGATCTGTGAAAAATGATGTCCGCTGGAAAGAATGTGTATACTAGTTAATTAAATCACTAAGAACTTATAAAGAGACATTCTTCTGTCCCTTATTTGATGGATTTGTTAACACAATTGTCCTCTCCTACTGAACACCTAGATGGCTGTTGCGATCTTCTTTGGAAGTTTGGCTTCACATCTGGACACTTCTCCTATGATCTGGTCTCCAGAAAATGAGAACAAATGATTTCAATTATAAGTACAAATATGATCTGGGGTTCTATCCCAATATCTTCCCCAAACAGACAGTCAAATATTTTAGGGGGTGGTAGATAGGCTGCATGCAGTCGTCGGACCTAGGCTGCATGCAGTCGTGGGATCGAGGCTGCACTCTCTCATGGAATGTAGGTGGGTTGGGGTTAGGTCCAGTTATAGATGTTTTGGGGTAGTTAAAAGCATCAGAAAGCCAGGAAACCCGCTCTTACCACCCTCGAAAATACTGGACTGTCCTGTGACATCATCCTGAGGGGAGTTATTGGGAAAGCACCTCATCTGGTACAAACCTTGTCCCTACTGTCCACAGTTTCAACTCTCCCACGACTAGTCTGCGAAGGTGAACCTGCAATGAAATGTAAGGGCAGTCATTTAAAGTCAAGATGTGCACACAATTCTACAGCCCTCTTCCTCCTTCTTCAATTCTCCTGTCATCACTTGCAAGTCCTCCTCTGTTTTTCTGTTCACCTCGTCTAGAACCACCTTCCCTAATCCTCAACTGTTTATCAACTTGCTATATCATGTCACTGCTCATCCTTATGTCTGTTTCTGAGTGTCTATGGGAAGGAGGAAGTTAAAAACAAGCGTGGAAAGAGAGAGTGAGAGAGAGAGAAACAGAGAGACATAAGGACAGAGAGAGATACAGAGAGACAGAGATACACAAGCAGAGAATGCACAAAACAGAGACACACCATTACAGTTGAAACATCTGAAAAGCACCATATGTCCCATAAACTGCAGGTGTAAATCAAGTTTTCAAATCTAAACAAATCCATCCAAACTAGGGGATGATTTTTATGGCGAGCATAAAATTAGTTTCACAAGTAAAGGCCAAACTCAGAATTCAGAGCTACAAATCTTAAGGTCCACTTGTACAGCATGTACTCCACAACTTACGGTTAAAAAAAAGTATTCTTGCCTTGACACTAACTAAGCACAGAAGATGCTAGTCCCAAATTTGAATTTAGCAAACACTTAAAATATGGTGTGTTCAGTACCAAGCCGGTAACTTTTACCTGCTACAGCATTTCCTACTGCTCATATTTAGGCTGGGTCGAAATGGGAGCTCAGGTATAAAAAAAAAAATGCTGTGCAACAAGAATTCAAACTAATGAGTCTGGGATAGAAAGACAAGCATGCTAGCTTCTGTGCTATCAATGATCCCTCGCAAAAAAAAAAAGGCGTCCCCCTTTATTTTTCTCAGTGTTCATTCCTAAAAGGTAGTTTGCAGGTTGTGTTCTGATTCACAGCTAAGTTGTGATATTTGTGGTTTTAGCCCCACACATTCGAGTTCAGCCAACCCCTAATTAGTCAACTTTTACAACCAAAGCCCAGACGGGAGTAACGGGCCCCAATATGTCTGCTCTGATAGTCAACCGAATTACTTTTAACAAGGCTGGAAAGCTGAAATAATGACTTACGGAGCAGCTGGTCAGATGGTGGCAGGAAGTCGCTATCTCCATTAATGCATAAGGAAAAACAAAGCTGACTGGCTGGCTGTAACGGCAGCTGTGATTGGATGTTCTCCTCACTCCAGGTCAGGATCCTAGACATGGAACCTATCAACAGACAGACGTGAATCTAGACATGGAACCTATCAACAGACAGACATGAATCTAGACACGGAACCTATCAACAGACAGACATGAATCTAGACACTGAACCTATCAACAGACAGACATGAATCTAGACACCGAACCTATCAACAGACAGACATGAATCTAGACACTGAACCTATCAACAGACAGACATGAATTTAGACATGGAACCTATCAACAGACAGACATGAATCTAGACACGGAACCTATCAACAGACAGACATGAATCTAGACACGGAACCTTTCAACAGACAGACATGAATCTAGACATACACTGAACCTATCAATATATTTTAAACTTTAGGTACACTTTAAACATCAGGTAAACACAAATGGTTTAAGAACACTTTAAACATCAGGTAAACACAATTGGTTTATGAAAAATACTTTAAACATCAGGTAAACACAATTGGTTTATGAAAAACACTTTAACCATCAGGTAAACATAAATGGTTTAAGAACAACACTTTAAACATCAGGTAAACACAATTGGTTTATGAAAAACACTTTAACCATCAGGTAAACATAAATGGTTTAAGAACAACACTTTAAACATCAGGTAAACACAATTGATTTATGAAAAATACTTTAACCATCAGGTAAACACAATTGGTTTATGAAAAACACTTTAACCATCAGGTAAACATAAATGGTTTAAGAACAACACTTTAAACTTCAGGTAAACATAAATGATTTGAGAACAACACTTTAAACATCAAGTAAACACAAATGATTTGAGAACAACACTTTAACCATCAGGTAAACATAAATGGTTTAAGAACAACACTTTAAACATCAAGTAAACACAAATGATTTGAGAACAACACTTTAAACATCAGGTAAACAGGGTGAGTGTGCCAGCCACCATACAACTATAGCTCCCACACAAGATAGTGAATCATCAAGCTTTGATACAGCTTCTTCAAGTTAGTTGTACCTCCTTTACAGGACATTGCAGAACCATCCACAGCAATTTTCTTTGGGTTGTTGCGGTTTTTCTAAGCAAATTTTACATTGAGTATGGTCAGCTCTCAGTATGACTGTCAAACCTAATGCAAGACGGTCTGCTGCCAAATCGTCTGCAGCTGGGATCAAACCTGGCACCCTGGCCTTAGGAAGTGTGCTGACAACATCTAAGTCACAGAGATATATATATATAGCCTATTCACTGCACATGATGGTGATGACGATTGGACAGGTACAATAGCTCACCTTGAACATCACTCTTGGAGTTGAGTTTCACAGACAACATCTGCACGCTGTGTTCTGATGTGTTCTGGAGAGTCACAGTACACTCAGTACTGGTGGCAACAAACAAACACAGGACTGATTAACTCATGTTTATGTCAGTAAAACCGAGTAACCAACCCTTTTTATGGCAATGTCACATTGGGCATTTGATTTGTATTTGCCTTGTGTGGGTGGCGGATTTGTTCATCTGTTTGCAGTTTTCAAGTCTCAAATGTAGTCTGGACTGGCTGCATTCTCACTAGATGGCCAAACCATTTCATTCTTTGTTTGTTAATATAATCCAGACATGGTCTTATTCTAACTTTCTTTTTAATCTTGGTATTCATAACCCTGTCCCATCTTGTGTTGTTAGTGACCTTGTCTCATCTTGTGTTGTTAGTGACCCTGTCCCATCTTGTGTTGTTAGTGACCTTGTCCCATCTTGTGTTGTTAGTGACCCTGTCCCATCTTGTGTTGTTAGTGACCCTGTCCCATCTTGTGTTGTTAGTGACCCTGTCCCATCTTGTGTTGTTAGTGACCTTGTCTCATCTTGTGTTGTTAGTGACCTTGTCCCATCTTGTGTTGTTAGTGACCCTGTCCCATCTTGTGTTGTTAGTGACCCTGTCCCATCTTGTGTTGTTAGTGACCCTGTCCCATCTTGTGTTGTTAGTGACCCTGTCTCATCTTGTGTTGTTAGTGACCTTGTCCCATCTTGTGTTGTTAGTGACCTTGTCCCATCTTGTGTTGTTAGTGACCTTGTCCCATCTTGTGTTGTTAGTGACCTTGTCCCATCTTGTGTTGTTAGTGACCCTGTCCCATCTTGTGTTGTTAGTGACCCTGTCTCATCTTGTGTTGTTAGTGACCCTGTCCCATCTTGTGTTGTTAGTGACCCTGTCCCATCTTGTGTTGTTAGTGACCCTGTCTCATCTTGTGTTGTTAGTGACCCTGTCTCATCTTGTGTTGTTAGTGACCCTGTCCCATCTTGTGTTGTTAGTGACCCTGTCTCATCTTGTGTTGTTAGTGACCTTGTCCCATCTTGTGTTGTTAGTGACCTTGTCCCATCTTGTGTTGTTAGTGACCTTGTCCCATCTTGTGTTGTTAGTGACCTTGTCCCATCTTGTGTTGTTACTGACCCTGTCTCATCTTGTGTTGTTAGTGACCCTGTCCCATCTTGTGTTGTTAGTGACCTTGTCCCATCTTGTGTTGTTAGTGACCTTGTCCCATCTTGTGTTGTTAGTGACCTTGTCCCATCTTGTGTTGTTAGTGACCTTGTCCCATCTTGTGTTGTTAGTGACCCTGTCCCATCTTGTGTTGTTAGTGACCCTGTCTCATCTTGTGTTGTTAGTGACCCTGTCTCATCTTGTGTTGTTAGTGACCCTGTCCCATCTTGTGTTGTTAGTGACCCTGTCTCATCTTGTGTTGTTAGTGACCTTGTCCCATCTTGTGTTGTTAGTGACCTTGTCCCATCTTGTGTTGTTAGTGACCTTGTCCCATCTTGTGTTGTTAGTGACCTTGTCCCATCTTGTGTTGTTAGTGACCCTGTCTCATCTTGTGTTGTTAGTGACCCTGTCCCATCTGGTGTTGTTAGTGACCTTGTCCCATCTTGTGTTGTTAGTGACCTTGTCCCATCTTGTGTTGTTAGTGACCTTGTCCCATCTTGTGTTGTTAGTGACCTTGTCCCATCTTGTGTTGTTAGTGACCTTGTCCCATCTTGTGTTGTTAGTGACCCTGTCTCATCTTGTGTTGTTAGTGACCTTGTCCCATCTTGTGTTGTTAGTGACCTTGTCCCATCTTGTGTTGTTAGTGACCTTGTCCCATCTTGTGTTGTTAGTGACCTTGTCCCATCTTGTGTTGTTAGTGACCTTGCAGAGACAGCACATTTCACATGTAGTTATTTTCTGTTCTAGCCCTATTCATTGAGACATATGATGCTAGATTATATTTTTTAAACCAATCGGCACTTGATGATGATGTGGTCAACACTGAACCAGCCGTCTTTACTTACAAATATTTTAAGTAGTCATTTTAAGCTGGGCCAACTGAGAGCCAAGCTCACTTCAAAGAAAAACGAACGTGATGTAAGTTTGAACCCAAGACTCAAGGGATGGGAGGTTAGCGGTCTAGCCACAAGGTTACGTGGCTTCAGCGTACTTGTGGTTCCTGGTGAGTCACATAATCAATGTATAGGAGCAGGGTACGTCACGTCCTATCACAAATGACCCAATTTCTTCGGTTGGAATTTCAGAGTTTAAGAGACAATGGTGATACAAAACATTGTTGATCAACTTTAACATAACTCTTCTGTCCAAAAGAGAGAAAAAGAAAAAAACCACGCACACGCGCGCGCGCGCACACACACACACACACAGGTCATGACCTTGTTAACATTTACGAAAAAATTCATAACAACAAATGTTTTTACATATGGTTGTTAAAATTAAATTTATAAACATTTTAAATATTTTTGAAATATATATAAAGATATAAGAAAGGAAATAATCAATGACAGGGTAAAGCATTACATGGAATAATTCCCCTGAGGCCTAGAAGCACAGGTGCCACATTCAGCCAATAGCATCAACTATGCGTCTTGTAAACAAGTAACTATAAATCGGAAAAGTGATATTTATGGCAAACTGGAGTAAACAAAAAGTGAAAGTTTTGTGGCTTCATCGATGCTAGAAGGGTTACGGTAGAACTGCCATTTGCCTTGCTCACAACCTTTTCGTCCCTGACAACTCTGAGAAGCTTCCTGCAACTATCTAGTAAGCATTTCTACAAACTGGGACAATCTCAGAACAGAATTAGAATCGTACTGTCAGACAAATCCTGCTACTTTGGAAGGACTGAACTCAGATGACTCTCTCTGCACGGAAGTGCACTAACCACCTGCCACTGGGGCTCACTCTCCCAATAAACAAACACAAACTAGAAAAAGGAAGCCAGCTGTGTAAAATATGTCTAATACCTCACCTCTGTCCAGCAAAGAGAACTGCGGAACCAGTTGCTACAATATCAGCACTGCCAGCTGTGTAAAATATGTCTAATACCTCACCTCTGTCCAGCAAAGAGAACTGCGGAACCAGTTGCTACAACATCAGCGCTGCCAGCTACGGTGGTGAACATGGTGGACTTGGGCAACGAGCAGGACAACACCATCTGAGGCAGCGGTGGCACAACATCCACCACAATCTCTGTCATTGGTGAGGGCTTCAGGTTGACGAGGTCACGCAGGCGACAGTTGCTTCTCACTCCAGACACAACCGTTGTGTAACCTGGGAGATCACATGACAAAAGTAATAACAGATGCTGTCTATATCAATTGTATCCAAGAAAGGTTTAGTCAAATATGATTTGTTGAAACAAAATGTATTCTTATACCTCTGTGACCTATCACATGTCTCTCGTGCTTGTTGAAACAGAAAACAGATTGGCAGATTTGTACACATGAAGAGAGGAAAGATGGAGAGAGAGATGGCAAGTAAGAATGACAAAAGAAGAGAGAGACAAACTATAAGAAAGAAGAGAGATATGGGCAGGTTGTTCCCCCTGATGGTATTCAATGGCACACAGCACTGATTTCTTGTTTATTTTCCAGCACTAATGTAATAAACACTGTCCGATGAGTACTGGCACCTTTTAGACTCTTTGTGGTGAGTACCGGCACCTTTTATTCTAGATAAAAGCCCTGGATTTAAAAAAAACAACTTAAAGTGTGATAGAGCGACTTCATTCATTATAGGGAGACCATTGATAAATCTGCAGAAAACAGCAAAGGAATGGCTTTTGTGATCTGGCTGAGGGTCTCTAGTACGAGCGGTAGTCACTAAGTCACAAATGGTTGTTTACAACAACAAAAATAAAGATGATAACAACTTGAAAACCATTTATTTTCAAACACACACACTGTCCCTTTTTTTTCAACATAATTTCCACTAACATTGATGCACTTCTCCCATTGTTTTATGCCTCTCAAACCTGCTGCATAGAACTGCGTGCTCTGTTTTCTCAACCACATTTTCACTTTACATTCACCTTCTGTGTCATTCGCGAAATGTCTCCTGCCAAGGTGGGTTTTCAGTGGACCAAAGAATGTGGAAATCACTAGGGGCTAAGTCGGGGCTGTAAGGTGGATGTTCCAGAAGTTCCCACCCTAGATGGTTAATTTTCTCCTGAGTTAATTGAGCCTTATGTGGTCTGGCATTGTCATGAAGGAGCAGTACTCCTCTAGTCAGCAGGCCCAGACGTTTTCTTCGAATAGCATCAAGAAGCATCAATAAAACTTTACAGTATGAATCAGCAATCACACTGTCACCTTTTTTTTTTTTTTTAAACTGGTTAAAAGCTCCCCTTGACAATCCTAGAACTCTGTCAGCATAACCTTCCCTGCTGATGGCGTAACCTTGAATTTTTTTATACAAGACGAAGAAGGATGTTTCCACTGCAATGAAGCACGCTTTGATTCAGGTTGGTAGTGATTCATCCCTAGTAATAATCCTGTTCAGCACGTCTTCTTCTTCATCTGCGTATCAACAGAGATGCTGCAAGAAGAGGCCTGATCAGTTGATTTTGTGTTTATCCGTCAATTGTTTCGGTAGCCACCTTGAGCACATTTTACTGAATTTCAATCGATCATGCATTATGTTGTATGCTAAGCTATGTGAGCACCCTACTGCAGCTGCTACAGTCAACCATTACTCGCCTGTCGTTTCTAATCATCTCCCCCATCCTCTGCACGGATGTGTCTGTTAAAATCTCAACAGGACGACCAGATTGTACTCCACCAATAATTTTAGAGCGTCCTTGAGAAAAATCTTAACCCAGCAATGAACCGCTTTATGCGATAAACATTTGTCACCATAAACAGGACACATTTCCTTATGAATATCCTTTGAAGGCAGGCCTTTTGCCCCCCAAAAAAGCAAATAACAGCATGTTGTTCTTTGAGGGTAAACTCAGTAAGTACAGTCGCCATTTTGTTTCTGTGTTGCGAATTAGCATGCAACACCTTGCGCCACCTAAAAAATGAAGACATAAAGTTGGATATTGCTGTCACCTTATGACACCTTTAGAAACCACCATTTTCCTAACCATTTGTGGCCTACTTCTTGACGTCCCCTCATACACTATCAGCCCCCCAAAAAAAAACATCAAACATCTGATGTGGATGGATAAGAACACAATTTTCCGCCTTTAAACACAAAATTTAACATGGACTGCTGATATCACTACACCAGAACAAGCTTTCTTATCAGTGATGACTGGGCGACCTTGTCTAGCTTATTTTCAAGACCTGACATGTCCATGAAGTTAATGGGTCAAACAAGGAAAGGATAACTCTGCAACAACCCTCGTGGTGGTGGTACTTTGGTATCAGGTCAGAAGAGCAGACTCTATATAAATCTAACTACAAGTGAATCAAACTATGTTTTAGGGTTCAGAGATGTGAATGTCAAGTGCATCAGACCTATCACTAAACTCTTCCTGGCATCACCAGGAAATGTAGCTGAACACTACAAGCTAATGATGATCACAATGCACACAAACAAAGTGTGAAAGCATAACTGTCACAGATACAGAAACTCTTATATCTTTTTCTTCTTCTTCGTGTTAACCAGCAGAAAGTTCTGGTTGTTCATCCACTTCTGGACTGCAGGCCTGTTCCAGAACCTGAGTGTTGCATGTGCATCCGTTTTACAGATCTGACTCATGTGTATGCAGACTGTAGGTTCCTTGCCTCTCATGCAGATGCGCTCCGACTTTGAAGGAAGCTCCCAATTAGTCAACTGTTACGACATGCTTTTGGGTAGGCAGTAAGTCTATTCTTCTTTTCTCTATAACAGACCCCCGGAACCCACACGGGGAAACTCATATATCAAGCTGGGTATTAGAATAACAAGCGAGGTTTCTATTGCATGGTTGGGCTAAATCGCAGTCACATGATTCATTGTTTGCTACACATGGAAAATACCTGATCACAAATGGTCCTTTGGCTGGGAATGAAAGAGTTGAGACTCAATCTTCCCGACAATTCACGATTAATCAACCAGTCATCATTTAACATGCAGCTCTCACACTGGACTATAGTTTACTTGGTAACCAATGGGTGCCCTAATGTATCTGTGCTATGTGGTTGAACAGGGTTTCTGGTAATTACTCCTGTTGGATTTTCATCTGAATAAAACTCCTTGAGTCACTGGATGTTAATCATCTTTTAGTTTGCACTACCAGAGGGAAATTTTAATTTAAAAAGAAAATGCACCCTCCACCCCCACATGAAACTGCAGGGTGCCTCCATACAGATCTACAAAAACAGCACAGCTTTGAATATCCTGACATCAAGAATAGAGAAACTATGGCAGCCCAACAACCCTCATGTCTAAGGTTTATGACTAAAATACAAAAACTTGAAAAAAAAAGAAAAAAACAATTACCCAGAACTTTGAGTGTCCCAGTTTTCTTTGGTTTAACCATCAGTTTAACATTCATGACGCCAGAATCAGGAGGGATCACCGGATTGGCTGGAAATATTTCTGTCTCTAAATCAGATGTCATCAGACTCTGATAAAACAACAAAGAGAGATATCTGCACAACAAGCTTATAAATGAACAAACATACAGGTAAAATGAAGTAAAACAACAAAGGGAGATATCTGCACAAAAAGGTTATACATAAACAACAAAGGGAAATATGTGCACAACAAGCTTATAAATGAACAAATATACAGATAAAATGAAGTAAAACAACAAAGGTAGTTTCATGGCAAATACAGAAAGATTCTAAGAATTCCATGGACCAAGAAGAGAAGAAATGTTGACAACCTAAAAGATCTGAACGTCAAGGAAAGTTGACATCATAAACAGCATCTTGTCTCAGAAACTGATATATTTTGGCCATACAACAGTGGACTGAAGACATTAGCGGAGGGCAAGGTACATGGTAAGAGAGGCAGGGGCTGACCAGCACGTGAAGATGGGCACAGTACATAAGAGACACCATGGGCAGGAAACTGGGAGAGTGGCGAGGGACCAAGTTTCCTTCAAGTATGCTGTGATGGGAGTGAAGTGTTGCAGGATGGATGTAGAGCGGCAAATATCACCCTTGGGGTGTGAAGTGTTGCAGGATGGATGTAGAGCGGCAAATATCACCCTTGGGGTGTGAAGTGTTGCAGGATGGATGTAGAGCGGCAAATATCACCCTTGGGGTGTGAAGTGTTGCAGGATGGATATAGAGCGGCAAATATCACCCTTGGGGTGTGAAGTGTTGCAGGATGGATGTAGAGCGGCAAATATCACCCTTGGGGTGTGAAGTGTTGCAGGATGGATGTAGAGCGGCAAATATCACCCTTGGGGAGTGAAGTGTTAGACCTTCCAGGCCTTTGAACAAAAGTGTGGTGACCTTCTTTCTTCTGCAAGCTCAGGTGGAAGGTCCTGGTTTGCCAATTTGTACTCTGGCTTTGTGCCTGAGGCTGAGTTTTGCATGCACATCCGTTTTACTGGCTTATTTGTGTGCAGCTGATTGTTCCTTGCCCCCTCGGGCTGATGCCCTCTGACTTTAAACAAAGCCCCCAATTAGCTGACTTCTGCAACATGGAAAGGCAGTGGGTCTATTTCTGTTTTCCTCACAATGGGGTCCCTGAACCCACATGGGGAAGAGTGCGGTGACCAATTTCTATTCTCAGAAACCTTCCTTCCATAGACGTCTGAAATTTGTCCAGCACATATTTCTATGAAGTTAAGATGACCAACAAATGCACTGCTGGCAGAAATCTAAGCAGGCCTCTGGTTGAGATTGAACTGATACCACTGATGGATACTAACTGCTTCACCACAAAAATCTCTGAATAACATCATAAAAAGAGGGAAAAACTCTTAATTTCCTTTATATATAAAAAATATAAAAAACACACACACACACACACACACAAAACTCTAACACTCAGATATATTAAAAAACTCCTCATGTTTTGTAGCTGAATTTTAAGAGAGTATTGTAATTAATTTCAAGTTAGCTGTATAATTGTGATATTGACATAATCTTGAAATAAAAATTATTAGAACATTCCAATCTATTATTTGAACCTTATCTGACAAAGATTTGTAAACTGCATAAACCTTTGAAATGTGAACAAAAATGCTTGCTATTAATTATTAACAAAAGTACGAATTAAATAATGCATGACAGGAGGCAGATTAGAATGGAAGAATGTTAGACGGGCCTGTGAGCCCAATTCTGAACTCTCTGAAAATAAAGTTTGTTCGTTTCATGCCTTATTTTATTAGTATCAAAGGTTAAGTATGGAAAGCCAACAAACCATGTATGATATTTTCAGCTCATCAGCAAGTGGGTTCTGCAACTGCAGAGATGCCTCACAGATGTCCCCACAAACCCACTTGAAATCTGAAACAAAGACAACATCATGGTCAGTTTAGGGTTAACCACAACTCAGCTCTTGTAGTGGCACTTTGTGAAACATCTGCACCACTCATCCTCAACCACCCCAATATGCTGCAGGCAACTACAGCATTCTCTATGGAAGTAGATTATTTGTCTGTTTAGTTGAATGAATTAGTTACAATCATTAAAACCCTAACAAATGGAAATAAATAAATGACATAATTAATGACAACTGTGTCTCCAGCTTATGTTGAACAAATGCATGTATTTGTTTGTCTGACACAGAATAGTTTATTAGTAAATAATCATGATCTTATAATATTATCTTCCTGTGGGTTCCAGAGCTCCCCATTTGTGAGGAAAACAAGAACAAACCCTTTACCTCCCTAACAAGCAGGTCATAGGAGATGACTAAGTGGGGTAGCCTTTGAAGTCAAAGTACATCTACCTGAGAGGCAAGGAACCGAAAGTCTGCATACAGATAAGCCAGATCTGTGGAACAGATAGGCATGCAACATTCAGGTTCTGTAACAAGACTAAATTATGGAGGTGGATGAACACCCAGAACTTTCTGCCGGAGTTTACAACTGGTGATTGCGAAGAAGACAATGAAGATATACAATCACCATCTTCTTGAAATGTCTAAGAGAAAATGCCAGTGATTAACTCTCCAAACTGCCCTGATTATTCTGTGATGTTGATGTTGCATATATGACTACTTGTTTAGATGTTTCAGCTGTTCAAACTCACCTTACTCTGTCTATCTTTGCTTCTTTTGCCAAACATTAAATTAACCCACAGTAATACTTCTCCATTTCACCTCTTTAAAAAAAAAAAAAAATTTTTGGTACAATATCTGCTTTGTGCCACTATGCATTACAGTTTTAAAGAAGATAGGTAGCCAGATTAGAGATAGCTGAGTTCTTGGGCTGTTCTATTTAAAGATTTTTCTAATTTCATAACTTTTTCTAGAACTGTACATGAAATGACTGTTCCACTGAGGGTTCGCTGGACCTGCTGCAACTTCTTCTTGAAAGGAACACTGATTTTATCACTGTTGCTGATTAGCCCACAAATTTTACGTTTATTGCTTCAGAATATGGGTTCTAACTGTGTTTTAGACTGTGACTGAGAATTAATCTGAATCAGGAATGTGATCTCTATAAAAGTAGTAGAACTGATCTGAATAAAAATATAACTGAGAGAAATAAAAATATAACTGAGAGAAATGAAAGTATAACTGACTGTTTTGCTGTCCAGAATAAAAGAAAAACTGAAAGAAATAAAAGCATAATTGATTGTTTTTGCTGTTCAGAATAAAAGTAAAACTGAAAGAAATAAAAGCATAATTGACTGTTTTTGCTGTTCAGAATGAAAGTAAAACTGAAAGAAATAAAAGCATAATTGACTGTTTTTTGCTGTTCAGAATAAAAGTAAAACTGAAAGAAATAAAAGCATAATTGATTGTTTTTGCTGTTCAGTGATTTTAAAATGAAACAATGTCTGTCATGAGAGTCACAAGGTCAAACAAAGCACAGAACGTCAGTAACATCTTGATACCTGGTTTACTTTCATCGACAAGCTTGTTGTTCAGAAGCAGAGGTGTGTAGATAAACACCCCCGACGGACTGTCTGTGACAGCTTCCAGTTTGCTGGCTTGTAAATGTGGGCTCAAAGGCAGCAGTCGAAATGACCTGCACACACAAGTAAAATATGAAGCAGCTTATTTCAGTAAGTAGTGTTACACACAAGATGTTACAGAGCCAACCAACTCACTGGGCAAACAGCACCAGTACTAAGAAACAAATCAGTCATGTGCACATGTGGACTGGCACCTGCCACATTAGATCATGTTATACTGTCCCAGATACAACACATCAAGGCAAAACTTCTGGCCAAGAGAAACACTGCTGCAAGCCTTACTTTATGGGTCCCTGAGTGAAATACAAAAGACAGTGAAGTTCATACAAGAGACAGCACTGCAGATATAGGAAATCTATTTCAAGCAAACGAAAGAAGAAGAAGAAGAAGATAGCAATTTTTTACCCTTTGGAAATAAAGTTTGCACATTTTATCTAATGAGTAATTTAAGCTCATCTTCATTTCTCCAAGGTTGTTCTTGATACCTCCTCTGTTTGATCTTTTGCATGGTCTTGTCGGTGACTTGTGATTCAACTTCCGTCCACACAGTGATAAACTGAAATTAACTAATGTTAATATTGAAATTAATTAAAATTAACCATGAATTAGTACTAATGTAAATCTGTTAAAGCGGAAATGGATTACAGTTGACAAAGACTGAACTAACCTGACAGCTGGCAGGGACAACAAAGGAACGGGCGGCAGAATTAGCCCAGACTCCAGAGCTATTGGGTTTGTGGTGCCAGGACACTTGGAGGTCAACACAGCCAAGCCAGACATGACCTCTCGCTGGTCACTGACCCCCAAGTGGGGCAGCATAAGGTCAACCAACAAGGTCATATGCCTGCAAGGTCAGTATCAAATAAAAGTAAATATGTGCAGGATATATATATAACAGCCAACAAGACAAGGGTGTTGAAAAACTGACACAACATTGCATGCGCATGAAAAACAAATTTACATTGTATGGACACCTTTAAGACTCTCAAACAAGTCTTTCTCTACTTCAACTGCCTCCACCACTTAAGTTAGGGAGACATCTGTCATGAGAGAGACCTCTCTGTCACTACCTTAACAATCCTGCTCTGGTGACCACACCACACATCATATTGTGAAATGTCCTCTCATTTCAAGTTAAGGCATAGTCCTAACATGGACCAATATTCAGCATTTACTGAATCTATTGTGTCTGTGTCTTGATGGGCATAACCACTTACTTAGCTACAAGATGAGACTGGTTTTGTTTCCTAAGTAGTAAAACTTATCAACAACAACATGTGATACATAACTGACTTTTAACTGTGAATGGTGGAATTCAAAGAAAGGAGCCATTCACACATCCTGCAATCAGGGGCTGAGTGGTCTCGTGGTATAGTATCTGCATCGAGTGCTTGAGGTTCCAGGTTCAAGCCCTGGTGAAGTCTGGGATTTTTTCATGTGGACTTCTAGTAATTTCCCCTGCTCTCTGGGTAGTAAGATGGGACACCAGTGTATATTCTTGCGCATGTAAATACATTTCTTGGCAGTTAGAAATCAAAAAGAGTAGCCTAACGGCACTGCCTAGACAAAATCTGGAGTTGACAATCTACAAAAGTATTTCAGGATCCTCTCCCGTGCAACGGAGTTCGTGCATTGTGCTGAGATTTTTCAGATTCAGGCTTGAGTTAGAAGTAGAATGGAGCACATACAGGTTATCACCCGAGTGCCATGATGTTGATCTGTCGAATAAACAAACATAAACTGCAATGTCTGGGACTGAATACATAAGGGCCCAGACTGGGTTTTTTTTTTTGGGGGGGGGGGGGGGGCGGTTGATTCAATCATTGTCTGTGCCAAGTCTGGGACATAGCCCACTGGTTCAACCTTTTTTTTGTGTCTGTCTGCAGGCCGGGATGTAGCCCACTGGTTTAACCTTTTTTTGTGTCTGTCTGCAGGCTGGGATGTAGCCCACTGGTTTAATATTTTTTGTCTGACTGCAGGCTGGGATGTAGCCCAATGATTCAACCATTTCTGTCTGTCTGCAGACTGGGATGTAGCCCTCTGGTTCAACCAGTGTCTGTGCCCAGTTTAGGATGTAGCCCACTGTTTCAACCTTTTTTGTGTGTCTGTGCCCAGTTTAGGATGTAGCCCACTGGTTGAACCTTTTTTTGTCTGTCCACAGGCTGGGATGTAGCCCACTGTTTCAACCTTTTTTGTCTGTCTGCAAGCTGGGAAAGTAGCCTACTGGTTCAACCAGTGTGCATGCCCAGTTAATGATGTGGCCCACTGGTTCAGCCATTTATTTCTTTAACAGTTTCTAGGAATCTGTTGCAGCTTTTTCCTAGTGAGACAGATCAAAAAAGATGAAACCTCACCTGACTGCTATCTGAGGGTTACTCATGCGCCTGGCAGCATACACCAGCTCGTGTAAGACCCGATACTGCAGCACTGGCCAGCCCGTCTTGTGATCTGCACACAAAAAGACAGTATGAACAAAACTAACAGCCAACATGTGCAGTGTACAAATACTGACAGCTGACACACAAACCAGTCATAATGAGCCGGTGGCAAACAAAGACATTTTGAACAAAACAAACAGCCAATGTGTAACAGATTGAGTACAGTTGACATTCATTACCCTGCTCACAGTCAGTGATGATGCCATATTGGTTTATGAACTGCCAAAAACTGTCATTAAAAGTTAGCTGAGTAGCCTTCACAAGAGGTTGCAGAACCAACCCCAGCATTTTTGTGGCTATTGTGGTTTTGCTATGAAAATTTACATTCAGCTGTTTGCATACATACAAGCCGTGTGTTCTCAACGGTCCGGCCAGCCGTGCTCCTCCTACCCACATACAAGCCGTGTGTTCTCAACGGTCCGGCCAGCCGTGCTCCTCCTACCCGCATACAAGCCGTGTGTTCTCAACGGTCCGGCCAGCCGTGCTCCTCCTACCCGTATACAAGCCATGTGTTCTTAACGGCCCGGCCAGCCGTGCTCCTCCTACCCACATACAAGCCATGTGTTCTCAATCCGGCCAGCCGTGCTCCTCCTACCCGTATACAAGCCGTGTGTTCTCAACGGTCCGGCCAGCTGTGCTCCTCCTACCCGTATACAAGCCGTGTGTTCTTAACGGTCCGGCCAGCGGTGCTCCTCCTACCCACATACGAGCCGTTTTCTTAACCATCCAGCCAGCAGCTCCTACTACCCCCATCATCAAAACATTAATTTACGTTCAATCGACATGGGAGCTCACAAAACAAACAAACAAATTTGTGGAAAATTTATTTTAAGCACAATAAATTGATTCCCTTAAAGAACCATAAAGAAATGAATTCACTAACGGTTTCAACTAATTCACTGCAAAAGTCGCAATTTTAACATGGCAGTGAGCATCCAAAGTTACGACTGCAGAGGGTGCAATAGTGGTCCAAAGTTACGACTGCAGAGGGTGCAATAGTGGTCCAAAGTTACGACTGCAGAGGGTGCAATAACATGTGATCAGTGGGTTACTGCCTTGTGTCCACCTTCAAGCTGTTCTTTCTATACTGATACCAAAATTTGATTTGGTCGCATTATTTTAGTTTTCAAAAAATGATGCTGATTATAAACATGAATTCATGCAAATGATATTTTCATTAATGTCATATATGATTAACTACACTCATACCTTTATCCATCTCTCTAGGATTGACAGACAAGCTGTAGCCTTCCAGACACTGCAGCAGAAGCTCATAACACTGGGACCAGCTGGGCGAACTGTCAGGGGCCACGCAGTTCATCCCTGACACACGTTTAAAGAAGGCAGACTTCCGCCTAAAGCCAATCTGGCTGTACAGAGCTGACAACGTGTTGAACCGCTGAATCTAGAATGTGTGACAATCAAAGAAATGTGTTCTTACACCAAGATATTCACAATTTCCATCTTCTCATTGGCTGTGAAAAATACGTTTGTTTGGTTGTCTGTTAAAGATGACCTGCACCTTTTAGCAGGGACTGTCATTTTAGATAAGACATTATATTTCTCCTGGCTTCCTAGATTTACTTTCAGTTGTTGACTGCTATGCCACGTGGCCTTAATGCTCAAAACAATTTGGGTAGTTTTTAAAAAAAAAATTTTTTTAACTTTCCTCCACCCACATGCCATTCTCACTTTTCTCTCTATGTTCTCTACCTTTTTTTTGGGTCCTGTGCATTGCCCACTTCCACCTTATCTGTATAATTTGATCTCTCATATCCTCCCGACTTACCTCAAGCAGGTAATTATATTCAGTTACATTAGAGTTTAATCCCCCCCCCCCCCCCCCCCCGGATATTTTGCTGACTTCAAGACTCAAGTTTTACACTAAAACAATCAGAACAACAAAATCGAACAATAAAACCCAGGTGCTTTTTCTGTAGATATTATACAAAGATGTTTACAGAAATTAACTAAGAAGCATGTCTAGGTGACCAGTTTTCTATGTTCCAGAATTCTCCCACATTCTTCACAATATCTTTTTGATTTCTTTTGCCCCCACCACACTTTATCCATATTTTTTTTTTCATAAAACCTGTCTCCTTCTAACTTTCGTGTCTGTCTGCATACTCCCACCTCTCTCACACACAGAAACGCACACTATGCTAACACGTTCCACTCACCCTGTCATCTTCTTGAGTCGGCAGGCTGATGTAAACCACATTCTGGAGAAAATCTGAGGCCTGCAGGAATTTCTGCATGCAGGGAAATTCAGATAACAAATCACTACAAAGTTAAGTATATTCCTGTACGATCAAGATCAGACTGAATGAATATTAAACTTCCAGCTTCATGTATCCACTAAAAATTTTAAACATTTTTTGTAAGGGATTGTTCTTGTAAATGTAAATACTAATAGTTTTACAAAACTGAATTAAAAGGAAAAAAACTGCAGATAGAGAAGTCTGGCGATGTCTCTGGCAAACCTCAACACCATAAAGTAGAAGAGGATTGACTAAGTAAGTCAGAATTTTTTTTTAATGTAAATATTAAAATAAAAAAATAAAACCAAACAAAAAAGCATGATTATTTAACCTAAACGATGTTCGCTTGGGTTAAGAATTGACAACCCAGCAGTGGGGACATTCACTCAGTCCTCATCTTCAGCAGCCAGCTCCTATTCCAATGGCACCAGTAGCAGTTTGACTATATGTGTCCGTATATGTCCGCATTAGTACAGAGTGTTGGTCAGACCTCCTAGTTACGCCCCACTTCATCATTTTCTCCCTAAACAATGAAACAGTAAAACACTGCACAGCCCTGTGGAGAAGAAGGGACAACAATTTGAATATCCCCGCTGTTTGAAAACCATGAATGGACAAGTAAAACATTTCAGTATTTGAAACAGCAATTGACAGTATACATACCAATTACAACTGAGAACAGTTTCATACCGTACTTCCTTCTGTATAACCATATCATCAGGTCCTCAATTTCACTTTCTTAATCTAAACATTTCTATCATCTGATTAGAAATATTCATTCCTTTTCTTCTTTTTCATTCTATGTCACTTCTACTACAACCTGTGATTACATATTCAAAATAATTATTTGCAGAATGTTAACATACAATATGTGAATTTCAAATTCCTATGTATGTATGTGAATACGTACTTGTTGTAAGATGAGGAATCGGCAAGCCTTCAAACAAGCCTCTAGCTCAACCATGGCAGCATTTTTAAACTGAAATATTTTTTAAAAAAAGGAGTCATTAACTACAGCTTCATGTGGTACTTTGTTACACACTGTAACACAAGTGAAAAGATTAGTAGGAAAAAGAAAGAAGACGGTGACAGTAACTTTCAGGGGGAAAAAAGCACACATCAATATATGAACTGATACATTCTGTTAGAGACTACAAGGTGTGGAGAGGCATAGTCATTGTCGTCAGTTGGCAAGGCATTTGATACATGTATTTAAGATAGACAGACTTCTATAATCATCCATAACCACATACTTATAAAACCACTACCCAACTTTGCCTGAAATTAGGGCAGTAAATACCAACAAGGAAGCGAGATTACCTTTCCACAACATGATTACCTTCCCACATCGTGATTACCTTCCCACATCTTGATTACTTTCCCACATCATGATTACTTTCCAACATCGTGATTGCCTTCCCACATTGTGATTACCTTCCTACATCGTGATTAACTTCCCACATCATGATTCCCTTCCAACATCATGATTACCTTTCCACATCGTGATTACCTTCCAACATCATGATTACCTTCCAACATTGTGATTACGTTCCTACATCGTGATTACCTTCCCATATCGTGATTACCTTTCCATATTGTGATTACCTCCCCACATCGTGATTACCTTCCCACATCATGATTAAATTCGCATATCGTGATTACCTTCCAACATCGTAATTACCTTTCCATATCATGATTACCTCCCCATATCATGATTATTTTCAAACATCGTGATTACCTTCAAACGTCGTGATTACCTTCAAACATCATGATTACCTTCAAACATTGTGATTACCTTCCCACACCGTGATTACCTTCCCATATCATGATTACCTTAAAACATCGTGATATCCTCCCCAGATCGTAATTACCTACCTACATCATGATTACCTTCTTATATCGTGATTACCTTCCAACATCGTGATTACCTTCCCATGTGACTACATTCCAACATCGTGATTGCCTTCCCACATCATGATTACCTTCCCACATCGTGATTACCTTCCCACATCGTGATTACCTTCCCACATCATGATTATCTTCCCACATAATGATTACCTTCCAACATCGTGATTACCTTCCAACATCGTGATTACCTTTCCACATCGTGATTACCTTCCCATATCGTGATTACCTTCCAACATCATGATTACCTTTCCATATCGTGATTACCTCCAAACATCATGATTACCTTCCCATATCGTGATTACCTACCCACCTCGTGATTAACTTCCCACATTGTGATTACCTTCCAACATCGTGATTACCTTCCCATATCATGAATACCTTCCCATATCGTGATTACCTTCCAACGTCGTGATTACCTTCCCATATCGTGATTACCTTCCAACATCGTGATTACCTTCCCATATCGTGATTACCTTCCAACATCGTGATTACCTTCCCATATCATGAATACCTTCCCACATCATGATTACCTTCCCACATCGTGATTACCTTCCCATATCGTGATGTACTTCCATGCCCCAACATGCTACAACCCCATTTTATTTTTTTAATGCATCATTCAGCAAGCATTTAGTTGGTGATGTAGTTAATATCCCGTTAGCCTTCTTTACTTCCCATAACCTTTCCTTTATTAAGTTTTCAACCTAGCCCAAGTCAAGTTCTCACAACACAAACCTCTAACAAATTCTGATGTGATTTATGGTGCAATCATCTTTGGACTCTGGAACAGCCCTGGCACACTTAGTATCTGATAGCAGAAATCAAAGAAGTGTAAATGTTGATTGTCACTGTCATAGACACCCTGGCTATAGGGCTCCATTTTGGGAGAAAACAAGAACAGAACCTCTGTTCCCTGACATGCATGTCGTAAAAGACTGTTTCCTTTGAAGTCAGACTGCATCTGTTTGAGAGGTACGGAACCAACAGTTTGCATATAAATAAGCCAGCTCTGTAAAACAGATGTTTATGCCAAAGACAAGTTCTGGAACAAGATGGCAGTCCAGAAGTGGACAAAAAACCAGAACTTTCTGCAGAGTTGACAGCCGGTGACTGCTGAGGAGAAGAAGACTGTTACAAACTAGTCAGCTACATGTTGGAACAGTCCCTGCTTGCATTTAGTGTACAAATCTGTATGCTCATCCATCCCTACTATCTGATCACCTTCACATCTCAACTGCCATGACTCACCTTGCTGTAATAAGTAATGGCCTCCTTGTATTTCTCCACAACATCGTCTATGTTCAAACCTCCAGGAGGGATAGCCTCAGACAAAACATCCAATCCATTGGCATAACTGGATCCTTTGTTAAAGAAATCATACAATCCAAAGTCAAAGAAATGCTCTGGGCATATAGTAAAGATTAGTTCAATGCTGAAAGCTGCATAAGAGGCAAGACACAGATGATGGTGCATATGGGTGGACACCAGAGATGGCCTAATAAAAGTCCCTATTTAGTGGAGAGTGAACGAACGAACGAACTTTATTTTCAAAGGGTCACAAATTGGGCACACAGGCCCGTCTTACATTCGTCCCTTCCAGTCAACCATCTTTTGCACAGCAGTTGTATTTTACTAATAAAGCATGTTATGATCATATGATGTTATGCATATTATGAATATTATAAAAGAACACAAAATCATGAGTTGTAAAGTGCATGCAAAAACCCGTGCGTGCATACATACACCCACATACACACGCTCACCCACATACACACGCTCACCCACTCACTTACACACACAAACATGCATGCATACATTACATACATACATACACAGATACATACAAACAAACATGCATACACACATACACACAGGCATACGTACACACAAACATACATACATACATACAAACATACATACATACATTCATACATACATACGTAATATAGGCATACACACATACAGTCACAAATACAGTCATGCATGGAGACACACACATGCACACACGGACACTCCCACAGAGACACACACACACACACTCAGACAAAAATACAGACACACACACAGACACTTAATTGTAAACACACACAGGGAAACACACAGCACAAATATTTACATTCGTGCTCACACACTAACACATACACCACACATACGCAGACAAACATGCAGGCACATACATACTGCCACATAGACACACACGCAGTCAAACACACACACACACAAATACAGACAAACAGGCAGACAAACACATACTGACACCCACAGAGACAAACACAGTGAAGGTGTATGAGAGGGAAGACAAACATGGGTGGACACTAAGAGATGGTCTGATATAAGTTACTCTTCAGTAGAGCGTGATGGTGTATGAGCGGGAAGACAAACATGGGTGGACACCGAGAGATGGTCTGATATAAGTCACTATTTCTTGGAGAGTGAAGGTGTATGGGAGGGAAGACAAACATGGGTGGACACCGAGAGATGGCCTGATATAAGTCACTCTTTAGTGGAGAGTAAAGGTGTATGGGAGGGAAGACAAACATGGGTGGACACCGAGAGATGGCCTGATATAAGTCACTCTTTAGTGGAGAGTGAAGGTGTATGGGAGGGAAGACAAACATGGCTGGACACTAAGAGATGGTCTGATATAAGTCACTCTTCAGTGGAGAGTGACGGTGTATGAGAGGGAAGACAAACATGGGTGGACACTAAGAGATGGCCTGATATAAGTCACTCTTTAGTGGAGAGTGAAGGTGTATGAGAGGGAAGACAAACATGGGTGGACACCGAGAGATGGCCTGATATAAGTCACTCTTTAGTGGAGAGTGAAAGTGTATGAGAGGGAAGACAAACATGGGTGGACACCGAGAGATGGCCTGATATAAGTCACTCTTTAGTGGAGAGTGAAGGTGTATGAGAGGGAAGACAAACATGGGTGGACACCAAGAGATGGTCTGATATAAGTCACTCTTTAGTGGAGAGTGAAGGTGTATGAGAGGGAAGACAAACATGGGTGGACACCAAGAGATGGCCTGATATAAGTCACTCTTCAGTGGAGAGTGAAGGTGTATGAGAGGGAAGACAAGCATGGATAGACACCAAGAGATAGCCTGATATAAGTCACTCTTCAGTGTAGCGTAGTGATGCATAGCAAAAAGTGTTTGAGATTTATGTCAGCCACCATCAATATTGAAATGGTACTAGATAATGATGAGGATGATACTGATGATGATGCTAATAATAGATACCAAATACTGTGCCCCTCCATAATGGACTGACTGCAATGTATCCACTGCTAACTGTAGGAATATGTGCAGTGATGCACCAATCTCTTCCACAGTGTGACTCTCGTACCATTGTCTGAAATCCGCATGGTCTTTTTCTAAACTTGCACACCGCAGGAAATGAGCTGTGGTAAATTTTAAGGATTGCATTGTGAAACCACTTCACTAGCCTCTTGGCGGTACAGCCACACAAATGACAACTAACCATCATCATTCCTAGATCAACCATCACTCTTCTGCCATGACACCCAACCCATCAGCCATAAAATACTTCCAAGATCAAAGTTATTACAAATGGCCTCTTCAATCACCTACCTGTTCTGTTTTTCGCCTCGGTTACAGGGGAACCTCGTCTGGTCTGGAAGGACAGATTCCTCCTCAGCACAAGAGGAGAGGTCTTTGGGTAAGCAAGGACTATTGCTGCACATGACAGGCCTTCCAAACAACCTGAGAAAAAAAAAAACAGGAGCATCGGAATACATTATCCTTCTTGTCTCTTCCATCTCAGATAACATTATCCTTTTTATCTCTTACATCTCAGATAACATTATCCTTTTTATCTCTTACATCTCAGATAACATTATCCTTTTTATCTCTTACATCTCAGATAACATTATCCTTTTTATCTCTTATATCTCAGATAACATTATCCTTTTTATCTCTTACATCTCAGATAACATTATCCTTTTTATTTCTTACATCTCAGATAACATTATCCTCCTTGTCTCTTCTGTCTCACATAACATTATCCTCGTCTCTTCTATACTTTGTGAAAGATGAGTGTTTGAAAAGGGGGAATATAAGGTGGGCCTGCGTGCTCAATTTGTGACCCTTTGAAAATTAAGTTTGTTTGTTCTATCTCCCAGGTAAAGCACAGGTCCTTAATCAACTCACTTCAAGCCTTCTGTAGACATGCTTATGAACGATTATATTTTGCAGCTCAAGTCGTCTAGGATGAGGTAGCCAGTTTCAAACAAAACCTCCTGAATCACCTTTTATCACATGCATGGGAGTCGACAGTGCTACTATTCTTCACTTTTCTCAAAATAACTCACTGGCAAACATTCAAGTAACTCTGCTGGTGTTTTCTCAACTAACACACGAAGAGAACTGATTGCCCACATCAGAAGGAGACCATCTACATTCTTTGGTCGTGTCATGAGAAGGAGACAACTGGAGTACATGGTGGCGGTGGGAAAGTTGGAGGGGGAAAGAGGCCAAAGGAGAACGATGGAGAAGATGCTGGACAGTTTGATATCACGGTATGGAAAATCATCTGTTTCAGAACTGACTGAAAGTACAAGAAACAGAAGGTTGTAGATTGACATGACCATGAATGCACACGATATGGACTAGAGAAGAAGGCACTGTCTCTGGGAATGACCAAATAGAGTTACTGCTAATGTTAAGCAGAAATAACATCACTCAGTTGGAATGGACCCAAAAGTGCTTTAGTATCACCCAGCAAGTATAAGACACAACATGGACATTGATTATTTCTTTTTCTATAGCAAAATGGTCGCATAAGCATCTAATTCTTCATCTAATGAATTTCACATGCTGGTTCTTAATCATACACATGGAAGACATGCTTCTGAAGCTAAATAATCAGCTTATGTTCTGTAGGACTGTGTTAACAGATTTCTAAAATTGGGTCATTTGGGGCCCAAGACTAACACCAGGTTTCAAACACTGGCCAAGACTTTGGGTCACCAACGTTACCAACTCACCTCCCATCCACAAGAAATCGTTGACAGATCGCAGCAGATCCAGCGCTGTATTGTAGTGCAACACTGCCTCGCCTGGCATAGCGGCTTGCATACACAGATCTCCCAGATGTTTCCGCAACCTGCCCATGCACTTCTTCCTGAAAGACCTGCAGAAATAATCAGATTGAGAAATAAACTCCCAAGTACTGTTTGGCACTCACAGAAGCAGATAAATGATGTGGAGATCAGACCACACCTTAGAGGACACAAGTGAAAACTTTAACGTGCTTACATCAGAATTTTAACCCGATACCTCTCCATGTGGGTTTTGGGTTCCTTTCTGAGGCATTTATTAAAAGCATGCATTGGGCATAGCTTTGCTGTATGTGTCACAAAACAGGATCTTTGAGCTAGTGACATCTGAACCTTTGCTATCATACAGTTGGATACTCAATGGATCGAAATTTGAACCTAAACAGCCATACAGTAGGATCAGTCAATTAACCTCTGATCCTGAGTTTGTTATTTAATCAGGTATTCTTCCAGTGGGCTTCACTCATGCTCCAAATGGGTTTTCCATACACATTATCACCCATGTGCAGGGAGTGTGCTCATAAGTGCCAGAGAATTTCTAGGTGCTGCATCTGGGAGCCAGCAACTCTGAGATCCTCTGGGAGCTACCAACTCTGAGATCCTCTGGGAGCCAGCAACTCTGAGATCCTCTGGGAGCCAGCAACTCTGAGATCCTCTGGGAGCCAGCAACTCTGAGATCCTCTGGGAGCCACCAACTCTGAGATCCTCTGGGAGCCAGCAACTCTGAGATCCTCTGGGAGCTACCAACTCTGAGATCCTCTGGGAGCCAGCAACTCTGAGATCCTCTGGGAGCCAGCAACTCTGAGATCCTCTGGGAGCCACCAACTCTGATATCCTCTGGGAGCCACCAACTCTGAGATCCTCTGGGAGCCACTAACTCTGAGATTCTCTGGGAGCCACCAACTCTGAGATCCTCTGGGAGCCACCAACTGAGATCCTCTGGGAGCCGCCAAATCTGAGATCCTCTGGGAACCACTGAGATCCACTGCCAGCTTGGTATAGGCCATAATCCACAGCAAATGAAAGGGATGTATGGCAGAAGTCTTGCACAAGGTCCATAAAACCAGCACAGAGCATGCTGATGTAGTTGTCTAGTAAGCGGCACTTTCCTCTTTTGTTGTTTCCCCCCATCCTTTGTGCTACATATGAGCAAGCTGATCTTGACACATGTTTCATACACCCATCTGTGTAAATGATGATGTTCCCTGGACATGAATGCTGATCATTCAGTGCCCTTATATCAGGGTCAACAATAACATGTATCTGATCCCTGCAGTACCTCCCCAGTCTTATGATGACCTCAGACAAGTCATACATGTCTAATGGTGTATCCATCCATTCTTTTCCGTAACTAATCACTTTGTGGTCAAATACTTGTTGCATTCGATTTTCTGCCTCAGCCATCCAGCAGGAACCTCTTTTGAGATGCACCCCTTTTATAGCAATGATTGTGTTGTGCAGTAAGTATCCTCATTTATGCCTTCACCTGTGTCACTTTATGTCTAGTGGCCATCGTGGCCACCCAGGACATACCACATGGCGTGGCCCGAGGTGTCTTTTGTGCAGCCAAGTACGAGTCTCGTGGCCTCATTTTGTACCCGGTTCAGTCTTTTTAGCTGGGTTCTGCTGACAGCGAGGAGGTCCAGACCACAGATCTATAACATTTAGTACAAGTTACTTATAAAGCAGGAAAAGTAGGCATTGTTCATTGTCAGCTTATGACATCACCTTCAGCGCCATCAGATCTTTCCTGGCTCTAACTATGACAATGCCTATGTGATTCTTATATGACAAGCCTCTGTCGCAAGTTACGCTAAGGTATCTCATTGTGTTCATTCTATCAATGTCTATACCGCACATGTCCATGACTGGTACAGGTATACTGACAATGTGGGTATTCAAGGAGAACCATGTTAAGGAAGCCTTTGCTGGGTTTACCTGTGCTCTTGATTCCTGGCACCACTCACTAAATCTATTTAATTCATGCTGTTGTCGCAATTTCATTCCCATTTCTTCCTTGTCAGCACACAAGGATATCGTTTGTGAACGACATTATTCTGTCCGAACCTAATATTCTGCCTAGACCTACAAGCTGTGTACTGGTGATTACTGATGTGCACACACTTAAGAGAACAGGAGACAATGGTGATCCATGGGGCAAGCCCATTAGGAGGTTTCTATGCCCACAGATTGCATGGCATAGAGACTGTTCTTTCAAAGAGCGCTGCTGTTATCCAACTGACTCATTTCATCTCTATTTGTAGGTCCAACAACAATCTGATAAGCATGTTGTGTGGAATACTGTTGTATGTGCCTTCTTAACTAACTTTACTGACTGTCAACTTTCACTGCGTAAATGGTACTTAACTGACTGACTGTCAACCTATATTGGGTAAATGGTACTTAACTGACTGATTGTCAACCTATATTGGGTAAATGGTACTTAACTGACTGACTGTCAACCTATAATGGGTAAATGGTACTTAACTGACTGACTGTCAACCTTCCCTGTGTAAATGGTATTTAACTGACTGATGTCAATCTACCCTGTGTAAATGGTATTTAACTGACTGGTGTCAATCTTCCCTGTGTAAATAGTACTTAACTGACTGACTGTCAACTTTCACTGTGTATATGATATGTAATCAGTTGATGTCAACCTTCACTGTATTTTATTGAGACATATATACTTTCACTGTGTAAATGATATGTAACTGACTGACCACCAGCTTTCATTGTCTCTTCTTCTGCTCGTTGAGAAGCTGTCAACTGCGGTAACAAGTCATAATGGTTCGTCCACTTCTGGACTTTTATCATGCTCCAGGACATGAGTATTGTGTGCATACCTGTTTTACAGATCTATCTTACTGTGTGCAGATTGCTGGTTCCTCTCTCTCTGGCAGATACACTTTGATCTCAAAAGAAACAATGACCCTATCTGAGTTTACCAGGGCTCGTGTAAGGAACCTTTTCCAAGGATGACTGCGGAGAGATCTTGGCCAGTTTGAGCCCTAGCTCTGGTGCACCACCATGTGTGGTTCAGGACCTCTACACCCCCTTCACTGTGTTAACTGTACTAACCCTTTCACTCCGAAAACCTTCACTGTGTTAACTGTACTAACCCTTTCACCATGAGAACCAACATAGTCATTTTTGGTTGCGACACATCCTCATCAATGTCAATATATGCGCATGTCTTCAGTAACCTGTTCTATAAAAGCCTAGTTAAATTTCACTGATCCTTTGTGAGCCTGTGGGGTGTTTAATAGGCCAGGATATTATTGTAAACTAAAAATAGCATGGGGGGTATTCCTTATAACATCAATAGCTTTCTGGAAGCCAATCTGATGTCAAATGCTCCCGTAAGCCGCAGTGATAGAGGTCAGGCATAGGTTACCCAATACATTGGTGTTTTTATTTTAACACCCTTAGGAATGCATTCCATTTAATTCTTCACTCTGTTCATGTGTCTGATTAAACCTTTATATATCTTTATAGATTTGAAAACAAATTTAACATGTAGATTAAAAAAATTCTTTAAATGTATTAGTGACAGGTGTATTATGGTTGTTTTTTTGTAAAGATTTTTTTTCTGTAAATTCCTACGGGCTCCTGGCCCATTTTTAAAAAAGCATTCTCCATGTTTAGGGTTCCAGGGCCCAACTGTGAGAAAAACATGCAATGAGGAAAAAACAAGAACAGAACCATTGCTAACTGGGGGTTTCCTTCGAAGTTAGAGTGCATTCTTCCCGAGCAGCAAGGAACAACCAGCCACACACAAATAAGCCAGTAAAACGGATGTACACGCAAAACTCAGGCCCTGGCGCAAAGCCAAAGTCTAATTAGACGAACAACCAGGACTTTCCGCTGCAGCTTACAGCCGGTGAACAGGAAAAAAGAAAACATTCAGGAGGTGAAAGGGTTAACTGAGTAAGAGAAGTAGATACTTGCTTGGCGGTCTTTGTCCGTCCCAATCAACACATCATATGTGATCAGCTGTTCATGTATGAATCAGACAATGTGCAATCAACACATCATATGTGATCAGCTGCTTGTCTATGTATCAGACAATGTACAATCAACACATCATATGTGATCAGCTGATCGTCTATGTATCAGACAATGCACAATCAACACATCATTTGTGATCAGCTGTTTGTATATGTATCAGACAATGCACAATCAACACATTATATGTGATCAGCGGATCATCTATGTATTAGACAAGGCACAATCAACACATCATATGTGATCAGCTGCTTTTCTATGTATCAGACAATGCACAATCAACACATCATATGTGATCAGCTGCTCGTCTATGTACCAGACAATGCACAATCAACACATCATATGTGATCAGCTGCTTGTCTATGTATCAGACAATACAAAATCAACACATCATAGTGGCGCTGTAATTTATGTCACAGGCGTGAGGGAAAGTTAAGTCCAACATGATGTGTATAAGGAGATACTCCGTACATTACTCGAGCGCCAGTCCTTCACTGTTCTGGTTTTACGGAACCTCACGCAAGAAGCCGGCAGCACGTCCTCGTCGTGCGCCACGGATGATGTCTCAAATGAGCATTAACAAAGCTATCAGGGGATCTCGGAGTTCGGCGGCCCCCAGAGGTGATGTGTCCTTGTGGCTCTCATCAGCCCGCCCCTAAACGCATGGGTGAAAAAGGTTATCAAAACTCATTAGGAACATGAGTAAAGTGCTTGCCAAACGTACAACTAAAATTACAACCCTTGGTTAAAAGATTGCGGAGTGAAGAGAACATTGTTCTGCTGAGACTCAACCCTTGACCTAGAGATTTACCCACAGCACAGACGAGTAACATCACCTGTGGGTGGCGTCTCGCAGCAAGATTCTACCTATGTACATCCTCTGTTAACCCTCAGTGTCATCATCACCGTGCTGAGGTACACCACAATAGCAACATTGGCTGGCTAAGCCTAAATGTCCGACAAAACTAGATCCTACGGCACACGAGTACGCTCAAAATCCGACCATCACAAATCGTATCGAATGGGATAAAGTCCAAATGTCCACACCCAAAGACCCCACTCGCCCGAGTGTTGGGACCAAACAGATAACGATATGCCTGACGCAGGATGTTAAATTCTGTCGTGCTAACGGCTCGTCAAAGATATCTAGCGTGGGAAGAAAGAGAATGTACCTATTCGTGTGGTCACAAAAGTCCAGAACCCGCGGGCTGCTCCCCGCTGATTTCTGGAAAGCACAGCCCTTGTCGAGTGGGAGACCTAATACGGTTGTGAGGTTAAGCAGGCATGTGCAGGACGTGACGATTCCTTGGGTGAGTCCAGAAACAGAGCGCCATGTGCCGGCTCTGCATACATGGAAGCCTCTTTGGAAGGCGGGGAATGCCCATGATCTGCCCCTGCCTTCCCTTGAGGGCTAACCGTTCCACAAGTGGCTGCCCCAAAGGGGTACTCCGGGGGCAACTCCTGCGGAGAAGGCAACAAAGAGGACACCACACAAATCAGGCAACGTCTCGACCCACACAAAACAATGGCCACAGTAATCCTAGAAATAGGCCTGACGTCTTCCCTCGAAGTCGGAGTACATCTGCCCGCGAGGCAGGGAACAGCAAAACGGTTGTACAAGTAAAACTCAGGTCCAGGTAAAAGCCAAAAGTCCAAGCGGACAATTAACCGGGACCTTCCGCCGGAATTCACAGCCGGTGAACGAAGAAGAGAAGAACACATCATATGTGATCAGCTGTTCATGAATGTATCAGACAATGCACAATCAACACATCATATGTGATCAGCTGTTTGTGTATGTAACAAACAATGCACAATCAATACATCATATGTGATCAGCTGCTCGTGTATGTATCAGACAATGCACAATCAACACATCATATGTGATCAGCTGTTTGTGTATGTATCAGACAATGTACAATCAACACATTATATGTGATCAGCTGTTCATGAATGTATCAGACAATGGACAATCAACACATCATATGTGATTAGCTGTTTGTGTATGTAACAGACAATGCACAATCAACACATCATATATGATCAGCTGTTCGTGAATGTATCAGACAATGCACAATGGGTCATGTACCTTCCACTTTCAGTCTGATCATACAAAACAAATCTGGCCAGATGTTCATAAGTACAAAAACACCACTATGCAGTGAGCATAACAGAAGGCTTTTGATCATCAGAAGGGGTCCACCTGCCACAAATCATCTAGCCTCATAATTCTGTTTAGACTATCAGGGGGTTAGTGTGTCAAACACTAAAATCCCAATTCTCCCTCTTGAGCAAGTGAAGCCAAATTTTCTGGGATGAAAGAGCTAAACAACAACAACAACAATAACAACAAATTAACTTACTTTGTATCTGTATCAACACCAACAAAATCCTTCTTCTCAAATGGTGCACACAACAAAGTGAGCTTGTCATTACGTTCAAAAGATCGGTCCAGCCGCTTACCCTCCAGAACATAATACAATGAGGTCACAAACTCTTTCATTCTGTCCTCTAAATCACTTCCAGTTTCAAGACTGGGGTAGAACACAATTTCGGCACCCGTGCTTTCTTTTGTTAAGCTGTTACTGTGAGTTCGTTTCTCTTCCTGCCGAGGCAGATTTAGAGATGGCACATCTGAAGTCAAATTATTCTGATCTGCATGATCAGGTTTACCCACATCTCCCGCAGAATCTTCGATTTTACCTATTTCTGTCTGCTCAGGTAATGGCTCTAAAACAGATGGCACTGACACTCGAGAATTTGAGGCGGAAAGTAACACATCTTTTGTCTGAGGTAAGCACGAACAGTTATTACTATCACAATTACATGCTTTCTCACATTTTTTCACTTCTGCAGCGTAAATTGTATCACTTTTTGTTTGATCAACTTTTTCAGCTTCAATTGGAGAGCCATCAGTATTCATTCCAAACACAAGCAGCCTGGAATTGATAACTGTTGAGGAATATTCCTCCTTTATGCTCTTATATGTGTCAAATAGATCAGCGAATTCAGCATGGTCCTGGCATTTCCCCACAACTATCAACCCTAAAACTTTTCTATGAGCTTGGAAGTCACCCCATGAGTTGCATTCGAGGGGATACACTTTCTTGTAGCGGACTGTGATGTTCCTCTTCTGCCCTTCCACATGGATCTGATCCACACGAGAAATCCTCTCGAAGGCTCTGTTGAAGTTCTGCGTGTGCAGCAGAGAACCAGTGTGCCTGACGAGAACCAGCATGGACTGGTGGTCTTCAGCTGTCTGTCCATAGTCCACTGTCCCTGTCATGATTGCTCGTCTGTTATCATTTACTTTGTATCAAAATCATGTCTCCTCCCTAGCAAGAGGGCATGTATACTTCCTGGCTTTCCAACAGAAATTTCAAACTTCCAGTTTATCTGTCAAGAGAGAAAAGACAAATCTCAATATAGTCAGCATTTTTAAACAATTAAACGTAACTGTGAGACGGAATACAGATTTTAAGTAGCTCATGTTCTTGTAAAATATACTCTCTAAACCAGTGTTTCCCATGTAGTGGGAATATGCTGAATAAATTTAAGATTCGTGACATCTTTTTTTTTTAAACTTTGTTAGTGACTGGGTACATTTCCCTCAACCTAAGAACGATCCAGTTTTACAAAAGTTTTGGGAGATGCAACTGGGAAAGAAAAGTCTTCAAGGATAATGGATGTATTTGTGAATGTCTCCCCAGGATAATGGATGTATTTGGTAAAGTCTCCCCAGGATAATGGATGTATTTGATAGTCTCACAGGTTAATGAATGTATTTGGTAAAGTCTCCCCAGGCTAATGGATGTATTTGGTAAAGTCTCCCCAGGCTAATGGATGTATTTGGTAAAGTCTCCCCAGGTTAATGGATGTATTAGGTAAAGCCTCCCCAGGCTAATGGATGTATTTGGTAAAGTCTCCCCAAGTTAATGGATGCATTTGGTAAAGTCTCCCCAGGTTAATGGATGTATTTGGTAAAGTCTCCCCAGGTTAATTGGTGTATTTGGTAAAGCCTCCCCAGGCTAATGGATGTATTTGGTAAAGTCTCCCCAAGTTAATGGATGCATTTGGTAAAGCCTCCCCAGGTTAATGGATGTATTTGGTAAAGTCTCACAGGTTAATGGATGTATTTGGTAAAGTCTCCCCAGGATAATGGATGTATTTGGTAGTCCCCAAGGATAAAGGATGTATCTGGTAAAGTCCCCCCAGTATAATGGATGTGTTTGGTAACGTCTCCCCACCCCCCCCCCCTCTCAGGATTATTAATGTATTTGGTGAAATGTCCCCAGGATAATAGATGTATTTGGTCAAGTGTAGACTGGACCTCTATTACTCTGCCTTACATCACAACACCTAAGTGTAGACTGGACCTCTATTACTCTGCCTTACATCACAACACCCAAGTGTAGACTGGACCTCTATTACTCTGCCTTTCATCACAACACCCAAGTGTAGACTGGACCTCTATTACTCTGACTTTCATCACAACACCCAAGTGTAGACTGGACCTCTATTACTCTGCCTTTCATCACAACACCCAAGTGTAGACTGGACCTCTATTACTCTGACTTTCATCACAAAACCTAAGTGTAGACTGGACCTCTATTACTCTGCCTTTTATCACAACACCTAAGTGTATACTGGACCTCTATTACTCTGCCTTTCATCACAACACCCAAGTGTAGACTGGACCTCTATTACTCTGCCTTTCATCACAACACCCAAGTGTAGACTGGACCTCTATTACTCTGCCTTTCATCACAACACCCAAGTGTAGACTGGACCTCTATTACTCTGACTTTCATCACAACACCTAAGTGTATACTGGACCTCTTTTACTCTGACTTTCATCACAACACCCAAGTGTAGACTGGACCTCTATTACTCTGACTTTCATCACAACACCCAAGTGTAGACTGGACCTCTATTACTCTGACTTTCATCACAACACCCAAGTGTAGACTGGACCTCTATTACTCTGCCTTTCATCACAACACCCAAGTGTAGACTGGACCTCTTTTACTCTGACTTTCATCACAACACCCAAGTGTAGACTGGACCTCTATTACTCTGACTTTCATCACAACACCTAAGTGTAGACTGGACCTCTATTACTCTGCCTTACATCACAACACCTAAGTGTAGACTGGACCTCTATTACTCTGCCTTTCATCACAACACCCAAGTGTAGACTGGACCTCTATTACTCTGCCTTACATCACAACACCTAAGTGTAGACTGGACCTCTATTACTCTGCCTTACATCACAACACCTAAGTGTAGACTGGACCTCTATTACTCTGCCTTTCATCACAACACCCAAGTGTAGACTGGACCTCTATTACTCTGCCTTTCATCACAACACCCAAGTGTAGGCTGGACCTCTATTACTCTGACTTTCATCACAACACATAAGTGTAGACTGGACCTCTATTTGCCTTTCATCACAACACATAAGTGTAGACTCGACCTCTATTACTCTGCTTTTCATCACAACACCCAAGTGTAGACTGGACCTCTTTTACTCTGACTTTCATCACAACACCCAAGTGTAGACTGGACCTCTATTACTCTGACTTTCATCACAACACCCAAGTGTAGACTGGACCTCTATTACTCTACCTTTCATCACAACACCCAAGTGTAGACTGGACCTCTTTTACTCTGACTTTCATCACAACACCCAAGTTTAGACTGGACCTCTATTACTCTGACTTTCATCACAACACATAAGTGTAGACTGGACCTCTATTACTCTGCCTTACATCACAACACCTAAGTGTAGACTGGACCTCTATTACTCTGCCTTTCATCACAACACCCAAGTGTAGACTGGACCTCTATTACTCTGCCTTACATCACAACACCTAAGTGTAGACTGGACCTCTATTACTCTGCCTTACATCACAACACCTAAGTGTAGACTGGACCTCTATTACTCTGCCTTTCATCACAACACCCAAGTGTAGACTGGACCTCTATTACTCTGCCTTTCATCACAACACCCAAGTGTAGACTGGACCTCTATTACTCTGACTTTCATCACAACACATAAGTGTAGACTGGACCTCTATTTGCCTTTCATCACAATACATAAGTGTAGACTCGACCTCAATTACTCTGCTTTTCATCACAACACCCAAGTGTAGACTGGACCTCTATTACTCTGACTTTCATCACAATACCTAAGTGTAGACTGGACCTCTATTACTCTGCCTTTCATCACAACACCCAAGTGTAGACTGGACCTCTATTACTCTGCCTTTCATCACAACACCCAAGTGTAGACTGGACCTCTATTACTCTGACTTTCATCACAACACATAAGTGTAGACTTGACCTCTATTACTCTGCCTTTCATCACAACACCTAAGTGTAGACTGAACCTTTATTACTCTGACTTTCATCACAACACCCAAGTGTAGACTGGACCTTTATTAGTCTGACTTTCATCACAACACCCAATTTCTGCCCATCTATTCCTACCTGTCCCTTTCAGATAGGGCTACCCTTAGCACTAACACATTTTTTCTTCGTCACATTCACCAGCTGTAAACTCTTAAAGAAAGTTTAGGTTATTCCTCAATTTCTGAAATTTGTTCCGGAACTTGAGTTTGGCTTGTAAATCTGTTCTTAAAATGTGGCTTAGTTGTATCTGCTGGTCTTCAGCTCTCAGGCAGATGTGCTCTGACTTTGAAGAACACCCCTATTTAGCTGACTCATATGATATTATTGTTAGAAAGGCACTAGATTTATCCCCCCCCCCCCCCCCCCTAGCTATCCATACTTATCCATTCTATGTGAGTGATCCAGCAGGCAGTTAGCAGAGAGTTTTGGTATGCCCTAGCTATCCATAGTTATCCATTCCATGTGAGTGATCCAGCAGGCAGTTAGCAGAAAGTTTTGGTATGCCCTAGCTATCCATACTTATCCATTCCATGTGAGTGATCCAGCAGGCAGTTAGCAGAGAGTTTTTGGTATGCCCTAGCTATCCATAGTTATCCATTCCATGTGAGTGATCCAGCAGGCAGTTAGCAGAGAGTTTTGATGTTTTAAATGCACATGAAGAGAAGGGTGGATCTGATTCAAGTTGTAGCTGGCAGCATCAGTATAGGAACTCTCTGTTGGCTGTTGAGGAAGGGGACAGAGCAGGTGTGGAAAATCTTCAAGTGCAGCCATGTCAATTATTGATTAATTTATTTACTAGCAATACTGTGTGTCTGTGTGTGTGTGTGTGCACATGCGTATGAGTCATCTCTACAGAACCCTTTGCCACAACATCAGGTGTACTGGACATATAAAGCTTGACCTACATGTTATAGACCCATCAGCATTTAGTAGGCGATGTGATTAACATCATGATGGCTGCCTTTACCTCCCAGGCATCTTCACAGTATGGGGTGGCTAATGTGGATATGTCTTCTTCTTCTTGTGTTTACTTTCTGATTTATGACAGACAAGTTCTTGTGATAAACTTGACTGTTTTTAGTAGTTCCCTTTTAGTTCCATACAAGTCTGAGAACAGTGTTGATTCAGTGGGCCAGTATTACACTTCTTAATTTGCTGTACAAGAGACATTCTTGAAGGACATATTCTGCAGTAGGCAGATACAGCCCACACAGGCACAGTGCTGAACTAATTAGACAAAGTCTGTGCATATGCTGGTTAAGTTTGTTATTTCCTGTCCTGAGGCATAGAACAATGACCTGCCCCTACCGGTCAAGTAAGTAGCCTGCCCATGAAGGTCAAGTAAGTAACCAGCCTATGCCGGTCAAGTAAGTAACCTGCCTATGCCGGTCATGTAAGTAACCTGCCCATGCCAGTCAATTAAGCAGAAGTCATTTCTGACCTGATTCTGCTCACTTCTTATAGACTGTATGGCCCTTTTCTTTCTCAAATATGTTATTGCCCTCTCTTCCTGTTTATATTCTGCCTCTTTCTTAACATAACAAGTTTATCCGTAGTTTTAATTCCTGGTATACCACAGTTTGATGGCACCCACTGGAGTACAGTATGCTTTTAGGTAGCCACCTTGCCAAGTTCAGATCCCAGGTGAGGGAGTTTACCACCCTTGAGGGCTTGGAGCACTGATAGCACATCTGTGAATATGACCACTTGATGGCAGTCAGAACTGGTGTTGTGTAACATTCCGTCGACCTGCTCTAGTGCTACGATTTCTGCTGTGTACCTGGAACAGAATTTACCAGTGGGTATACCCTTTGTGTGGCGGTAGTTGCCTGGGTACGTAATAAAGATGCCAGCACCTCCATTTTTAACTGC